CATGGAGTCCTGTCCCTGTGTCCCTGTCCATCCATGGAGTCCTGTCCCTGTGTCCCTGTCCGTGCAGGATCCCATCCCTGTGTCCCTGTCCATCCATGGAGTCCTGTCCCTGTGTCCCTGTCCATCCATGGGATATCCAGATCCCATCCCTGTGTCCCTGTCCATCCATGGGATATCCAGGAATGGTTTCAAACTGACAGAGAGTAGGTTCATGTTAGAGATTAGATATATAGATACATTCGATACATTCGATACATTAGATATATATATATATATTAGCTATATTAGCTATATTGAATATATAGATATATTAGCTATATATTATATTACATATTGTACTATATCAGTATATTAGCTATATTAGATATATAGATATATGAACAAAATTAGATATATAGATATGTATCCTCCAGCCTGGGCACCTCCAGGGATCCCAAACCTCCAGGGATCCCAAATCACCAGGGATCCCAAACCTCCAGGGATCCCAAACTTCCAGGGATCCAAAACCTCCAGGGATCCCAAACTTCCAGGGATCCAAAACCTCCAGGGATCCAAAACCTCCAGAGTTCCCTAACCTCCAGGAATCCCAAATTTCCAGGGATCCAAAACCTCCAGAGATCCCAAACCTCCAGGGATCCCAAACCTCCAGGGTTCCCAAATCACCAGGGATCCCAAATTTCCAGGGATCCCAAATCACCAGGGATCCCGAACCTCCAGAGTTCCCAAACCTCCAGGGATCCCAAATTTCCAGGGATCCCAAACCTCCAGAGATCCCAAACCTCCAGGGATCCTGAACCTCCAGAGTTCCCTAACCTCCAGGGTTCCCAAACCTCCAGGAATCCCAAATTTCCAGGAATCCCAAACCTCCAGAGATCCCAAATTTCCAGGGATCCCGAACCTCCAGGAATCCCAAACCTCCAGGGATCCCAAACCTCCAGGGATCCAGGAGCAGCCACAGCTGCTCTGGGAATTCCATCCCCTCCCAGGGAAGAACTTCCCCGCCGTCTCCGCTGGAATCCTTTGGGCAGTTTGTCCTGGCGGGCGAGGACAGAGGGACAGGAGCTGCCCCAGGAGCTCCTCAGGAGCGCCCAGGCCGAGCTGCTGCCCAAAACAAATTAAAAATAAAAACGTTTCCAAAAACAGCTCCGGGGCTCCAGCTCTGAATTTCAGGATCCCTGGAATGCTGACGCTTCTTTTCCCGCCCAGCCCCGGCAACAGCGAGTAAATAAACGTAAATAAATAAGTGAATTAGAAAGAAAAAAAAAAAAGATAAATAAATAATAATAAATAATAATAAATAAGTAAATAAATGAAACTCACATTTCCCCCAGGGCTGGCCTTGGCAGGGCATTAAGGAGAGCCAAAGGACAAAGATCTGGCCGGGTGCTGATGGCAGCTGGAAGGGATCCAGCTCCCATCCCTGGCAGGGGGAAGGGCAAAGCTCAACATCCCACGGCTCCAAACGGATTTTCCCGGCTGGAGAGCCACGGGATGGAGGGAGGGCCAGGAAATGAAGGGGTTAAATGGTGATTTTTAGCACGGGCTGAGCTGGAAAGTTCAGCTTTTTATCTGAAGGGTAAAGAAATGAGGAACTGGGAGCTGCTGCAGATCCTTTCAGGGGATCCGGGGAATGTTTGGGGTCACGGGGATCCAGGGATGGTCACAGGGAATGTTTGGGGGGATCCAGGGATCCAGGGAATGTTTAGGGAGGATCCAGGGAATGTTTGGGGGGATCCAGGGATCCAGGGAATGTTTGGGGTCACAGGGATCCAGGGAAAGGTCACAGGGAATGTTTGAGGGGATCCAGGAATCCAGGGAATGTTTAGGGAGGATCCAGTGATCCAGGGAATGTTTAGGGAGGATCCAGTGATCCAGGGAATGTTTAGGGAGGATCCAGCGATCCAGGGAATGTCTGGGGAGGATCCAGTGATCCAGGGAATGTCTGGGGAGGATCCAGTGATCCAGGGAATGTTTGGGAGCAGCCAGGGAATGGCTCAATCGATTCCAGTTTGCTCCTGCCCAGGCAGCCTGACCCAGGGGGCTCCAGGAGAGGCCGTGGGACCTCCACACTCGTTTCCACCTCACTCCTCACACGAGCTCCCTCTCCTCAGCCCCCAAACTGATTTCCTCAGGAAATCTGCCTGTCCCATCAGGACAAACCCTAAACCTTTATTTGTGCCCTTCACTGCCACCAGGACAAACCCTAAACCTTTATTTGTGCCCTTCACTGCCACCAGGACAAACCCTAAACCTTTAGTTGTGCCTTTCACTTCATCACAGCAAATCCCAAACCTTTATTTGTGCCCCCATTGCCACCAGGACAAATCCTGAACCTTTATTTGTGCCCTCTCTGCCACCAGAACAAATCCCAAACCTTTATTTGTGCCTTTCACTTCACCAGGACAAACCCTAAACCTTTATTTGTGCCCCTCAGTGTCACCAGGGCCACCCCTCACCTGTCCCCACGGCTCTCAGGGACCTGCCAGGTGGGCTCAGGGTGACCCAGGAGCTCGGGGACAGCGCTTGGGGACAGCAGGGACAGGTGGCAGCAGCAGCAGCAGCGCCACGAGAGGTGCCAGGGCCTGGCCAGGACCAAAGGCAGCCCTGGCTGGGCCATCTGTGCTCGCTAGGGCTGGCCTTGCAAAGCCTGGCTCTGCCTGAGCCGGGTCTGCCCGGATAATCCAGGGATGGGATGAGGCAGCTCCTCCTGCAGGGACACCCAGAGGGGCTGGGAAAGGCACCCCAAAACAGCTCTGTCCATCCACACCCCGTCCCTGTGTCCATCCAGGAATCCTGTCCCTGTGTCCCTGTGTCCATCCAGACCCCGTCCCTGTGTCCATCCAGGAATCCTGTCCCTGTGTCCATCCACACCCCGTCCCTGTGTCCATCCAGGAATCCTGTCCCTGTGTCCATCCTGACCCCGTCCCTGTGTCCATCCAGACCCCGTCCCTGTGTCCATCCAGGAATCCTGTCCCTGTGTCCATCCACACCCCGTCCCTGTGTCCATCCACACCCCGTCCCTGTGTCCATCCACACCCCGTCCCTGTGTCCCTGTCCATCCAGGATGGGAGTAGGGCAGAAATGAGTGAGAGGGACAGAAATGAGTGAATTCAGGACAGAATTGAGTGAATTCAGGACAGAAATGAGTGAATTCAGGACAGAAATGAGTGAATTCAGGACAGAAATGAGTGAATTTAGGACAGAATTGAGTGAATTCAGGACAGAAATGAGTGAATTCAGGACAGAA